ACAACTCCGTCGAAATCAAGTATAGACTAAAAAATATTTTTAAGTCCTAGACCATAAGTTCCTTTATGCAAGAGTATCTTCGACTAGGCTTTCAATATTTTTCTGTTGAAAACAACATATTCTTTTTCAGAATATCTCTTTAAATTCCACTAGCTCATTTCAATTATTCATGTATGTCAAAATTCTAGTCAACAATAGTATACAACATTTATGAATTCTCTGATACGAGGATAAAATATAATAGAAAATGTCAATTGTTGTGATCAAAAGAAAGTATTTGAGAATATCTCAAGGTTTATGATCCTTAGTGATATGTTGAATGAATGTGTATGTAATGGACTTATTCATTTTGTGGCTTTTACCAACTCTCACATTCAATGACGTGCAGAAAATGATACATCTTAGTATATTTGGTGTTACCCTCTTTAGGGAAATATTTATCAAGAATTCTTGATAAAATAGGTACACATTATTTTAAGGTTGAAATAATCGAGAAATTCTTATTAACCCCTTAAAATAATAAATTTAACTTTTTGCTCAACTAAATAAATCATTTTTTAACCTATAAGATAAGTATTCTAGTGTTTCATAACAAGAGGTGTAAATAAATCCAAGCACGAGTGCATCATACAAACCCAAAACAAGATATGCTGAATTGGACCAAAATAATTAATTGGCATTTGCATCCAATCGATTAGATCATTTTAAAAACTAAAAAACTTGAACTTTGGAACCCACCACAATAGATAGTACGGTGAGTAATTAAGGCAACAAATACTTTCAACGGCTAACTCTCAAAATTTTCCATTTCTAATTGATTATAAAAATGATCTAACCGATTAGACAAAAGCTATAAATAGAGGTAACTTTCTCATTCTTCTCATCTCATCAGTTTTTCACTTGTGCATTACATTAGAAACTCATTAGTTCTCTCACTCATCATCATCACATCAAAATAGCCTCAAAAGAACTCGTTATTCCAAACGTTCATCCTCATACTTCTCGGAAGACTTCTCTTCTTAAGCTCAAAAAACTAACTTCAATCTCTACTACTACGATAGAGGACTTTTTACTTCTCACTATCTAGATAAAGACATCTTCAATAATTATTCATTCATTGGAGCATTCAATGATGCAGGGCTGAGGAACTTTATTTTTGAAAAACCTCAGGAGAGGTACCTGGAATTAGTAAGGATGTTCTACGATAATCTCTCCTACAAAGATGGAATCATCACCTCTGAAGTCAAGAAACACCCCATCACTCTATCTCTTGAAGACTTCGCTCAAGTTTGCAACCTATCCTTCATATCGCAAGTTTATGATCAAATGGATCTTGAAGGTAACATATTTAATTTTTACACTTTTGCCCACTTTCTCCTCATTAATCCCACTTCCATAATTCCAACTCCCTTCAACATTGGGCTCATCCGCCCAACTAGTATATTGGTTCACTAAACAATAAATCATGTGCTTTTCCCAAGGAAGGGTAGCTAAAACACCATCCAAAAATCAGACATCCCTGTTGTCTAGTTCTTGGAAAATCAAGTTATGAAAAATTAGGCAGATGTTGTTCTTCACCATATGCTAGATAAAAAAGGGAAAATAGCACCATATCCTATGCCAAAGTAATCACCAAAATCCTAAACTACTCTGGATATGAATTTGGAAATGAAGAACCAGTCTATGTACACACAAAGATAGGACAAGCATACATAAGAAAAATGGGATATACAATTAAAGAAGGGGAATTTGTCCCCCATCTGCCAAGAATAAGAGTGCAAAGAAACCTTCATTCATCCAACACCCTCAATGAAATTCGTGATGAGAAAAGGAAGATGAATGTAAAGATCAACAATCTCATTGAGAAAATGGTGGGAAATAATCTTATCTCTCCAACAGTTTCCAGCAAAGATGATGATGTTGAGAAGAATTAAGTGTTTCTTAGATGTTTTTTTTGTCGTGCAATTTTCTTCCTTGTACTTTAAATTCAATAATTTTCCTTCTGTATTTTAATTTCTTTGCGATAATATGAATGATGTTTTTCCCGTTTCTATATGTCTAATTTGTCTATGTTTGCATATTTATTTCTCATAATGCATCTTTACCTGCCTTTTGATTTTGACAAAGGGGGAGAATTATACTCTCAGGGGAGTAGAGCATAATCTCTATTTAACTTTGGGGGAGTTTAATTACACAAAACATATATGTGTTATTTTCTTTAGCCACCTCCCTTGAGAGATATGTTGTCATCATAAAAAAGGGGGAGAATATGGAACCTTGTTTTGTAGGTGATACACTTTCAACAAGGACATCAACTTTTGATGATGACAACTAATGTTTACTAGCAAGTCAAGTACAAGAAAAAAAAAGGATAAAGATACAAACCTAAGTATTAGAGTTTGGTGTACTTGACTATCAGATTATGGCAATCAAATGAAATGTAACTAATGTCTCATCTCAAGGAAACTCAACCAAGTGTCTACAAAAGGAAGAATCTAACAAAGTCTTGAAGCACTAAGAAGCCCTCCTAAATTAGTAATGAGTGAACACTTTATAAAGCATAAGGGATTTATAGTAAAAGTACATGGATAAAACACATACACACTAAAACATCTTTTTAAATTGATTTTTATAAAGAAAATATCTTGAAAGATGTCTTAAAGTTGTGACAGATGATTTGGGAGATGTCAAAGTTTCTCTGGGAAAAGTTTTGACTTTTCTAATCCATTGGGATACTTCTCTAATCGCTTAGGTTAGTTTGAAGTAAAGTCCCAAGTGATTGGGACAACACCTTAATGATGTGCAACTACTAGATATTTTTTTTCTTCCTATTTTGAACTTACAATCGATTATATTTTGAATATCTAATCTATTAGAATCAAGTGCTAATGGATTGATTGTCATATAAATCATTTATATGAAATTCCTTTTTGGGCCAACCTCTATCTTATAAATAGAGGTCCCGTCCCTAATTTCATTTCATCCCGAATTTTATTTTGATACAACACTCTCTCTCCCTCTATCTCTAAACTTCTTTTTTACTTTATTTCACTAATACTTTAGCCTTAGTGCCTTTGTGAGAAAATTCCTTTTATGAGTGAGAATTAAAGTGTAATTTTGGAAGGGTAGAATTGTAAGTTCACCAAGAAACCTTGTTTATACCTTGGTTGAATATAATATCTATTTAGGGATCTTTTGTTTTGGTTAGAAGAAAAATCCATAAAAGCTTTGGTTTAGGGGATTGTGTGATTCAATAAAAGTTTGAGTTTCAAAGCTCTGCCTATGATAAAAGCCTTCACCTGGTTCTTGGTCAACCCAATATGAAACCAAGATAAGGTAAAAGTTTAGCCCGTGATAAAATCTTGGATAAGTTTTGAGATTAGTCTGATATTAAAATCTCATAGGTTATTGGTTAGCTCGTGTAAAATCAAGGTTTAAAGAATCATGAGCTCAATCCGTGTAAAAGCTTGGGAAGTTTATGAAGTGAAGACTAACTCGTTCAATCTACCTTTAGTGAAGATCGATCCACTGTTTATGAAGAAAGTACTAACCGCTTTGATTCACCCAGAGAAGACAGACAAGCCAAATCCATTCTCTTGTATTGTTTGGTTGAAGGTCAATCGTCTTTCCTTGTATAAGGAGGTTCGTGAGTACATCCTATTAAAAGCTCTCAAGTTAATTGGAAACTCTCAAGATCAATTCGTGAAGAGATGAGTAGGTCCAGTTGTTTTGACATAACCTATATTTCTCGGTGTTCTTCTCTTTCCTATCCTTTTAATTTCCATAATTTATATTCCGGATTTTATTTCCCAAACTTTTTTCAACCATACAATTCACCCTCCCTCTTGTGTGTGAAGTCTTACGTACAACACATATAAACATATCCTAATTCTCTGTATCATCATTGGACTCTTTAAATTTGGCAATTTGCAGTTAGACTGTGTTTTCTCGGATAGGCCTAAGATACTTTATTGTGTTGGCTAATTCGTCTGATTTTTAGACTCGAACATCAAATTTCACCTTCCAACTCGGCAGTTGATGTCTGAAGTTGCCTCTACTTTCATAAATATATCCATTTTGAGCAATCCCGAAGTTACTTTAAAAAATCAATCCCGATCACAAGTTTATTTCTGACACATAAATTCCTCTTTCAAATAGAAGTCTTATTGATAAACTTCTCTAATTAACCCACACTATACTTGATATTAATTATTATGCACATTAACTCAATATTTATCAAAACCAACGGATGTTCACTTACAAGTTACATTAAGGATCCTTTGACACATAAAACTGGCCCCCTGCATAAGGACTCATATTCAAAGCAGATTCATCTACCAAACTCACAGGTTACGCTGATTTGGACTAAGGATCTTGCAACGATACTAAACACTCAACTACTGGTTTTTGCTTCTACGTAGGCAGCTCCCTCATATGTTGGAAGAGTAAGAAATAACGTGTCGTCTCAAGATCTTCATCAGAGACAGAATGTCGCTTTGTGCAATGCAACTTGTGAGGTCCAATGACTATTACACTTACTCAAAGACTTAGCCATTGCTCATCCAAACTCTTTGACCATCTTAACTATCTATAACTGCCTAACTAATTTCAATGGCTTTGTTATGTTGTTCTTCTACATGCTTCAATAATAATTAAGGTTAAAAACTAGATGCATCGCCAATAAATCAAAAGGAGAAGTTTACAAAGAAGGCAGAGGTAAAATATGGACGAAATGTTGTTTCATATGCAAATACAGAAATGTTACTAAAGAAATATAGTTTCTTTTATTTAATCAAATAATGTATCAATAGTACATACAAATACATAAATATTGAACAAACAAATAACTCTTCGTCAAGAGTTTATACCCTTTACGAACTAATTATTACTTTCCTATATAGAACATAATCACATAGATTATTTAATTCAAGGCCAATTTCTCATCGCCTGAAACTTTACTTATGCATATAGCATGCACAAAGTTCACCTGTTAATTAGAATTAATAGGGAATCAAACTAGCAATTGAGAGACAATTGCTAACAGTGATACTAACTAAACCATCAGTCTTAGACTGTTCATTGTTAGGTGATTGTTTAAGATCCTCAAAAGCACTTTCACAGGTAGAAACATCAGCCATAACAGTACTAAGCATAACTGTAACGGTACCGAGATCACGAGCCGGAAGAGCGTCCATAGCTTTTTGAAGATTGTCCATTGCATTTTGGTATTGATCCTTACATTCTAAAACTGCATTAGCAACCTCTGGATTCCTAGCTGCATGTTTAGCCACCTTTGTTATTGTCAACTTTATTTGAATGGAACAGGCTTTAATGGCGGCTTCGAGGACATTAATCATGTCGAAGTTTTGAGTTAGGTGAGGGCTGATAGTTGCGAGACAAATGTCGGGGTATTCGGTGTGCATGCATATTTGTTCGATTCCGAGACTGCTTTGTTTTGATTCGGCGAGTTCGGACGCTGACACAGGAGGATTGCGAATGGAACCTTTGAGAATGTCAGAGAATGCAGCTTTGAAGGAAGATGAATGACCGAATGATGTGCGTCCGTGTGCTGATGCTGGTTCTGATTCTAATTCTATATCTGATATGGGAGCTTCATGAGGTGATGGTGAATGTGCAGATTCTGCCGGAGGCTGCGCGTTTGGAGGATTCGCCTGGTGACGACGGAACAGAGGCTTCGGCTCATTAATGTTTGCAGGGTGATCTGAGAATACGTGAGCCATGCAGTTTTCTACTGCAAAACATAGTACAATTATGTAGAAAATTTTGAGGTCAATGTTGTTGATGTTGTTGATGAATTTCATGTTGTTTGTTGATGGTTTGAAACTTGGGAGAGGAATGTTGTTTGTTGTTGATGAGTTTAACTTGTGAGTGGAACATCTTATATGAGTTTTTTCAATGAAAATAGGACGCTAGTTAGGAATGGTAACCATTGTTTCTGCTATGTTTAAGGGGATAACAATAATTTGTGAGGTGAAACTAAATTACCTAAAAAAGTTTCACTTAAAATAGACTTTGACTGATTAATGTCCTCTCAATGTCATAAGCTCTATTGATGACGAATTCATAAAAGCATTGTGCAATGTGAGTGAATATAGAGACACCAAAAGTTTATATTATTAGGGAAAGTGAAAATATGATAGGTGAAATTTAAATAGAGTTTTAAATATTTTTCAATTTCATTAATAGACAAAAGAAAGTTTTGATAAAATACGGATAAATTAATATACTTCATTAAGTATTTTGGTAAATAACAATGAAATATTTTTTATAAACGAAAATATTAGGGTATAAGAGACGGTTTAACTTTTATAAACGAGAAGTAAAATTAAAAGAGTATAAGGGATATTAAACCTAAATAACTTAATGGCTTAATTTCTTAAACAGACCAACTAGCGACTGCACTGCCATTAAATTTTATTAGGCATGGCAAAGAAACTCACCCGCTTCAAAATTAATAGGGAAAATTTAATTTAACTGAGTGCGGGTGCGGCAGCAAGGGTGGGGATGCTACTACCCCGCACCTGGTCCCGGCCCCATTCTAGTCTATTTTAATTTATTTTTATTCCTTATTTTAATTATTTTATTATACATTTATTAGAGTTATTTTAATTTTTAGAAATCGTTTTACTAGAAAAACATGTTTATTAGTTATTTTATTTTTTAGAAACATGTTTATTATTAAAATAATTAATTACTTAATTAAATTATTAATCTTTATTATTATGAAAAAATATTTATTCTTAAAAAAATAGTTTTGCGGGTAGGGGCGGACCGGAGGCGGGAAACCCGTTCCCCATTGGGGGCGGGTCTGGGTGGTAGTTTTTTACCTCCGATTGGATGCGAGTGTGGGGGCAGGTCTATTTCAGGGAGGCGGATGTGGGTGTGGGGCTGCTTAAACCCGCCCCCGGCCCGCCATGTTGCCTAAATTGCCTAAACCAACATGCAGACAGTCAAATTAACAATTGTAAATTAGTCTTAATTTTATCTTTTACAGTGTTATGGACTGGGCCGACACTTGGCCCACAGTCGAGCAGGCCCAGCCCCACATCGGGTTAGAAGGCCCAATAAGACCTAAACCGCCTCCCCGTCGGGCAGAGCCCTTTCTCCCGTCAGGAATAACCCTTTCTCCCATCAGACACGAACCTCTTGGTGGTCGAGCAGGCACCTCACATATGCTAGGCACGCTCTCCCTTCTGCCCAACCGTCGGGCAGACCCTATCCAGCTCGGAGGGCTCCTCTGACCTCCCCCACGTTCTCAACGTGTCCCCTACGCGGAGACACGTCATCAGGTAACTACCTGTGCCCTGATTATTCGGTCCTCCACCTCTTGGATAGCACGGAGCAGTTACACTAGGGCGAAGACCACGTGTTGGTCTTCCTGACGCCACGTCAACCTTAGCAGTAACCGTTGGCCCTGCGCTGGGGAACACTATAAATACCCTCTTTCACTATAGGGTCGGGTAATCTCATTCTTACTTCTCTTTCTCTACTTGTTATCACTCTGTCCGACTCTTACTATGGCATCAGAGTGTGTTTCAAGTACACCCCCTACATTCTCCCAGCAGTCAGACAGCTCAAACGTGCGGCCGACCAGTGACTTCTTTTGATCAGGTGAGATCAGTGGCGTTGTCTGTAGGAAACCTAAAGCTTCCCCATTCTTCCGAGCAATAGAACTAAAGCTTTCATCAACTTCTGCGATCATGGCCAGCCCACGCCACGACGATGTTGTCCACTATTACACCTTTGACCCGCTCACCAACAATGACGATCATGGTGTGCCTGTCAACGACCGTGACGGTGGCATTAGGGATGGGCAGACATCCCCTCCTTCATCTGATGACGCGACCTTCAAGGTCGCCCCTCGAGCAAGGAACCCAACTACCTTCTAGCCCATCCCCACACCAGCAGGGGCGGATCCAACGATGACAACCCTCTTTGCGGCCATCAACCAAACCAACTTGATGTTGTTCCAGCAGAACGAGTGTATCAGGATGCTAGAACAGGATCGTCCATCTCGCTCTCCTCCGCAGAGATATCGCCATCCCGCCCGGAGCCTTTCTCCCGTACTACGTGAGACGCGACTGACATCTCCCCCGCGAAGATCCCAGCGCGAGGATTCTCGGAGCCCCTCTCCCCGTCAACAGGGGTGCCGACCATAATTTGCAGAGGCCTCAAACTGTGGCCTCTAAGAAGCGCGAGAGGTCACCTCCTCGGAAGGAAAGGTGCTCCCCGACCATGATGAAGAGCAGACCTGACGGTCTGAGCAAGAGGACGAAGGGTCGCAGTCAGTCTACTCAGCACAATCCTTCCCCCTGGCGCTCCCCTGTCCGAAGTGACGAGGACAGTCACCGGACATCTGTCGCTACTCGAAAATGCAATGACGGAGAGGCAAAACTGGAAAGACAGAAGAGTCGCCATCGAACTTTATTTATCCCATAAGGGGAAGGGGAAACATCGAGAAAACCCCAAGAAAGAAACGGATAAGATGGTCTCGCAACCAAGAGAAAGGGTTTGGAAGCGGGTTATGCGAAGGGAAGGTATTAGCACCCCTCGCATCCATCGTACTCGATGGGAACCATTTGTTTGTCTATGTGTGAAGGTATTGCTAAAGGATATTACTATAAAGAGTCTTCTAAGGGGGGGGGGGAGAGAGAGAGAGAGAGAGAGAGAGAGAGAGAGAGAGAGAGAGAGAGAGAGAGAGAGAGAGAGAGAGAGAGAGAGAGAGAGAGAGAGAGAGAGAGAGATGAGAGAGAGAGAGAGAGAGAGAGAGAGAGAGAGAGAGAGAGAAAGGTTGGAAACAGTGAAAAGAGACTCGATAGGACTTCGCGGTCCTATGCCTACGTATTCTCAACAGATATGAGAAAGTCAGAATCAACATAGTTCGGAGGACTATGGATAAAAATATGGAAGAGTGCTCGGTAAGGATTGGGGCCCTTGTACCTACGTATCTTCACTTAAAAGAAGTGAAGAATCAGAGCAGCCGTAGTTCGGCCTACAGTTAACTAGTATTTTTATGGATGATGCTAGTGTGTGCATTCTAGCAGTTAGGTGTATCGCAACTCGCTTGTGGAGTCTTAGGCATTACCTGTTTGCGGTAGAACTGACGTAACATATCCTTTTGAAAAGATTACTTTTCGCCATCGGGGCAAGATGTCACATTTGATTTGTGAAAATTATTTTTAGGGATGAAATAGGTCCTTAGATAGTAACCCTTTGCGGGCAGTACCCAATTCTTTATCTCAAAGATTTATTGTGAAAATGGTTGGCAAATACAGTCACGTCTTCATATTGAAAGACGAGTATCGAGACCACACACTCTACCATGAGTATCCTAATACTCGGAGAGGAAGAAGTCTGCACTCAATCCTCTTTCTTTAGTTCAATACAAAGAGAACTTCATTCTCTTTATTAAATATGTTTTGATCTTGAATGGTAAGTGCTTTACGACAGTGAACCCTAAAGGTAATGTCAAGCACTCGGGATAGGAGAAGGCCTACGTCTAACCACTCCACAACCATCCAAGTTTTATTAGGAAAAGATTTTGAAAAATGCACTCGGTACGAGACCAAGGTTTCTTAGGCTCAAGAAGACAAGTTAAAAAGAAATGATGGTGAATAGGTTTAACAATTTGTTGAGAAAATCCGCTTGACGTTGGGTCAATGGTTTGACTTATATTTGCATGCAAAAACATGGTGGAATGGACGATGGGTTTGAAAATGGCTCGACGACGAGTCGAGAGTCTGGATTAAAAACGAAACCAGTATCACGACGAGTCAAGGGTTAAGGCGTGAGAAACGATACTAGTCCCTGGGGGTGCTCATAATATTGAAACTACAATGAAGTGTGACAGTGTGTGCGATAGGTTGATGGTGAATGCGGACGGGCACTCGACTTACAGTGGGGTGTTTGAAGATGGCTCGATGACGTATCGAGAATTAGTTTGAAAACGGTTTAATCTATGCTAGTCCCTAGGGGTGCTCCTAGAAGATAAACCATAGTCAAAGAAATACAAAAGCATACATCGGAATGGGAGAGGGATACATGCAAGTTATACGGGATTGCACGAAATAAAAGGGTCTCGTTGTAAGGTAGCCCAAGAGAAAGTCGTGTATGTGCGAAGTATCCTAAACTATGACTTGAAAAAAAGTTGGACTAAACTCCAAGCTAGGGTTTCTGATAAAGTCCAATAGTCCATTGCTCGGACAAGTAAACAACAATCCACCAATTTAGGCTTTTAGTGTTTCGATCATTTGTTAAGTATTTTCAAATACGTGTGAGTAAGACATGAACAATATGAATAATGAATATGATATGAACATGAACAAGATATGAATAATATAACAAGATATATAACAATATAATCGAGATAATATTCACAATAATATAGTCAAGATAAATATTAACAAGTATATGAACAAGATAATATAATCGAGATATAATGACTGAAATTAAAACAGTTGTATATTTGACTGAAAATAAAACAGTTGTATATTGATAGAAAGTAAAGCAATTGTATATTGACGGAAAGTAAAGTTAGTGGTTAGTCGATTTGTGAATTGAATCGGGACGAAATCTAACGCTAAACTGTCGTAGCTCGACTTATGACAAAATTCGAACTTAGGAGGTCGCGTGAATGGATATATGTGCTAAAGACAAGATAGAGAAATGATATTGAGGACCATTATCCAATTAAATTGTGTTGCACGGGAAAAATAAGGGTGAGATCTCGTCTTAATCATAAACTCGTGTCGATTAATCGAAGGTATCCCATCGTGATCCCAAAGTAAAGAAAATGACCCAA